GAACAGGAGTACTGGTGGCACCTTAGAGACTAACAAATTTATTAATTTGTTAGTCTCTAAGGTGCCACCAGTACTCCTGTTCTTCTTTTTGCGGATACAGACTAACACGGCTGCTACTCTGAAACCTGTCAATCTGTACCACGGTGAATAGTGGAATGAACAAGGAGTACTTGTGACAGCTTAGAGACAAACAAATTTATTTGGGCATAAGCTTTCATGGGCTAAAACCCACTTCATCGGATGCATGTAATAGAAAATACAGTAGGAAGATATATATACACAGAGAACATGAAAAAATGGGTGTTGCCATACCAACTCTAACGACAGTGGGACAATTTTCAAGCCAATTTTTGTGTCTCAGACTGAAAGGTTGAGAAGCACTATTCTAGGTATCTGTATCCACTCGGAGACACACAATACACACCTGCATACTGCTCGTTCTAAGCTAAATGGAGATGAATGATAATTATTGTGTATGTGTGAGACAGACAGACAGACATCTGTTTTATTTTGTAAAAACGTGTGCTGCTCAGTCTTTGTGAGTACGTGTGGGTCTGTCTATGTGGGTGTGACTATGTACCTTTGTTGAATGAATGTGTCTGTGTATGGAAGAGTATATATAGCTTTGTGAGTGAATATGTGAGTATATCTTTGTGACTGGATGTGCATTTAATGTGTGTGTGTGTGTGTGCGCATAGACTGTGTCTTTGTGTGTGTGTGTGTGTGTGTGTGTGTAGAATGTGTGTAAATAATCACAAACCAACAGAGGGATTATCTTTTTGCTGTGTTTATCATTTGTGTGCGAACAAAATGTTTTTGCATATTGGAGGGCTGAGTATGTGAGTGTATCTTAGTTGTGGTGTGCTGTGTGTGTATTCTCTGTGTGTTCTGCGTGAGTGTGTTGTGTGTGTATATTGTATTCTGGATGCATATGTGTGCTGTTTGTGTGTTCTGAGGATGTATATGTTGTATTCTGCATGAGTGTGTTGTTTCTGTGTGTGCTGCATGTTTGGTGTGAGCGTGTTTTGTGTGTGTACATACCTGTGTTGGGGCCAGGGGTCACGCTTTAGAAGCCAGTGTCTGCCCTGGATGCCCATGTACACACCCCAGCCTGGGGTGGCTGCAGCTGGCAAGCTGTATGAGGTGCCCCTGCACTGCAGCCCGGCTCTCCCCCTGCCCCCCATCACTCACCGTCATCGGGGGCGTTCTCGTCCCACACCGACCACATCTGCACGCTGAAGAAGGGCGCCCAGCAGGCGACATAGGCCAGCACGATGACAAAGGTCATCTTCACCGTGCGGATCTTGGCCCTGGAGATGGTGCGCACGCTGCTCACCCGGGAGGCCTGGCTGCAGGGGCACCCCGCTCCCATCTCTGCTCCGCTCTGCGTCTTGCCCCGGAGGTTCTTGCAGATCTCGTGGCAGATGAGGCTGTAGCAGATGGTGAGGATGACCACGGGCAGGACGAAGACACACAACGTGGTCCAGGTGATGTACGCCCTGGCGCCCCAGGGGTATCTGAAGTCAGCCCAGCAGTCCAGCACCCCGGAGCCCTGGTGCACCTCCTGCAATGAGAAGATGAAGACCTGGGGCAGGCTGAGCAGGCCACTGAACACCCAGGTGGCCCCGATCATCAGGTAGGCCTGCCTGCCTGGCTGTTGCAGAGTGCGCAGCGGATGGCACACGGCCATGTAGCGGTCCAGAGTCATCATGATGAGCATGTAGGTGGAGGCGAACATGCTTAGCACCTGCAGGTACTTGACGGCCCTGCAGAGCAGGTCGGGCCCCAGGAAGCGGTAGGTCACCTCCCAGATCATCTGGGGCAGCACCTGGAAAAGCGCCACCCCCAGGTCGGTCAGCCCCAAGTGCAGGATGAAGAGGTGCATCCTGCTCATCTTCTTCCTCAGCCGGTACATGGCCAGCAGCACCCCCAGGTTGCCCACGGCGGCAACTGCCAGGATGGTGGCCAGCACCCCAATCTCGGCCCGGGCTAGCTCCTCATCCCGGGTGTGGAAGAGAGTCCAGTTGAGATCCCCCACCTGGGTCAGGACGTCCCCAGGGTCGCTGCAGGGAGTGCTGTTCCTTTCCCAATCCGGCTCCATTGCTGGGAGAGCTGGGCGGGAGGCGGCGGGAGGCTGGCAAGGGGGGAAGAGAGCTGCTGGGGCTGGAGACAACCGTGGAACCAGCAAACTTCTTTTTCAAAGTGGCGTGTTTAAAATGAATCCCTCTAGCGAGCTGAGCTGGAGCGGTTCCATTTCCTCACCCCCAGATCCTGGAGCTGGGCATTTCCCCTGTTGCTTTCCCCACCCCTGAGTGAGTACTCTCTCTCTCTCTCTCTCTCTCTCTCTCTCGGTTTCAGACAAGTCCTCAACTAACTGATGGCAAATCTCCTCTCCTGTTAGGCAGGTCAATTTCAAACCTTCTTCTTGGGTAATTTGATGCAATATCCCCCTGGAAAGCTCCTAAATCCCTCTTCTCCCTCTTGCATTAGCCAACTCCAAATCTTCTTTCAGCCCGGGCTGGTCAGCTCCCAAATCCCCCCTACCCCCTTCTCCCCTGTCGTTAAGTTTCAGAAAGAAAAAAAAACTTACTTTCTTGTTTTTTAAAAATGCAATAAAAATAAATAAGAAGCACCTTAGAGATGCTCCATCTATTGGATTTTTCATCCAGAGGGTAACTTGAAAGAAGCCAGGTTTCTGGTGTTAAAATGTCTGGTCTCTGTTTAGGTGCTGTAGTGCCTTCTGAATGCAGCCTGCGATGTGTGAACAGCGTCTGGCTTGGGTCTGAGTTTTATAGCCTGGGAGCTGCCTGCTCTCTCCTGCTCCCTTTCGCTGCCACCCTGTTGCTGAGCTGCGGCTGGCTGGAGTCAGAGAAGCAGCACACACAGGTGGCTGTCAATTTCCTCCCTTGAGGAATAAAAGAAGATGCCTTGCATCTCTTCTGCTGAATCTCCCTGCTCCCTCTGATTCTCCTACAAAGCTGAGATTTCCAGGACTTCAACACCGGACCCGTTTTCACCACCAGTGATTTATTGGTAGGAAGGGGGAGGGGGACCCCAGAAATACTCCCCCATCCTTAAATTGTCTGTTTCGTGCTTTTAAAGGCTCAGCAGCCTCCCAGGCAGGGAACGTTTCTCTCACCCTCTTCCTCAGTGGTTTGCACTATCACCTCTCAAACACACTACAGAGCCATATTTCTGCAGCTCCCAAACCTTCCCATCCCACCTCTTCTGAGATTTGAGAGAGACAAAGTGGGTGAGGTAATGTCTTTTATTGGATCAACTTCTGTTGGGGAGAGAGACAAGCTTTGGTGCTTACACAAAGCTCTTCTTCAGACCTGGAAAAGGTACTCCAAGAGTCACAGCTATATACAAGGTGGAGCAGATTAAGCACAAGGAGTTAGCACATTGCAAGAGACCATTCAGGGTGAAGTGGGCACTTGACAACTCTGCAGTTGTCGGGCAAAGGAGGGTCAGTGTGTTCCCGCTTATTGTAATGAGCCATAAATCCAGTGTCTTTACTGAGTCCTGATTTTGAGTATCTAGCAAAGTTATGAATTTAAACTCCAGGTTCATCTTTTGAACGTGTTGTGCCGGTTTCCTTGGAGGATGAGGACTGAGAGGTCAGATAGGGAGTGACCCTTTGTGAAAAATGATCGGCCACGGATGATAGGGTGTTTTGTCTTATCATTTTTCTGTGTGACTTCATTGGAGAGCGTAGTGATTGTCTCATTTCACCCACATAGTTGTTGTTAGGGCATTTAGTGCACTGGGCGAGGTACCGTCTACTTCCCAAGACTTTCATAGCTAAGGCACTGATTTTAATCTCCGGTATCAATATACTTTACAGAGGACTTGTGCTTCCTCCTCTGTACAATAGTACAAATGAAGGGCCTGATCCAATTCCCATTAAAGTCAGTGGAAAGATTCTTATTGACGTCAATGCCCTAAGTGACCCAGCTCTGTCTGTGACTCACTGCATGACCTCCCCACCTCTGTCCCTCCATCTGTATAATGGGATAATGATACTTACCTCCATTACAAGAATTTTGTGAAACTGATCAAATGTTTGATATCCTAACAAGCTTGGTTAGTCTTCCTAGCCCAAACACTGCAATTTCAGTTCATCAGACAGATGGCCGTCCCCTGTTGGACAGGGAGCAGAAAACTGGTTACTCCACTGTGGCTAGTTCAGAACAACCTAGACAATCTCTGGACTGTTGGTGGAAGGGTCATGCCAGCAGCTTCTACACAGCCAGCGAAGAAGAACATATCCTCTGTGAATCTGTCTGCACAGCAGTTTCAGTCTTCAGTCTGGAATAAATGTCTAGTCTCCCTTATCATAGATTTAGGGTGTGTGCTGTGCAGTTAAAAAAGCCTCATGAAAATTCATGGGAGGGGAAAGGGATGCAAACACATAATAATTTCCGTCAGTAGGCAAAGCATGTTACAGATAGTTTGAGCCAAGAGAAATGCAATAGATGATTCAATTAGAAATGCAATAGCTTCTGTCAACAGACAAGTACCTTAGAAATTACAGTGCCAAAAATACAGATGATAGTTTACTTATCTCCTGTAAGAAGGGGACTGTGTTTCTTGCCTGCAGGAGGCGAATTTTGGGCTTGTGGTTAAACCCTGAGGCTGGGTGTCAGGAGAGTTGGCTTCTGTGCCCAGCTCTTCAAAATGTGGTTTTGGGCCAGTCACTTTCCCCCTTCTGTACAATGGGGATGATAATATTTCCTGCCTTTTGGGAGTGTCGTGAAGTTTTAATTCATGAATGCTTGTAAAGAGCCTTATCTGCATGTGTGCTTTATATTAATTAGAAGGGATAAGTAAGAGGATTTCCCCCAGTTTTGGGGTTTAACGCCCCTTCGCCCCATAACCCTGGATTTTCACTTCTTTATTCTGAAGATCCCTTTCCCTCTTTTTCTTTCAAAAACTATTTCTCTCCCTCTTTTCCGCCTGCTGCCCTGATTTTCTCACTTCCCAACTGTGTTCTCTCTTACTAGGTGCCCCAACAGAATCTTCCTTCTTCGTGCAGACCTGCTCTGAGCAGGGACAGATGACATAGTATTTAAAACCCTGGCAGTCCCCTGCAGCCCTCTCTCCCTTGGGAGCTAACCGCTGCTGTAATTGGTGGAGATCAATTGGGGATGGGAAATTTTAGCAATAACAAAATCGTAGTGTAGATACAATCTCAGAGAGTAGATAGACCTAAAACGAGACCCCCACACACACCTCCCCCGTGCTTTGTGTAGATGTGCGGGCAGTTGTATATGTCGCAGTGTCTCCTGGACCTTGCTGGGCTGCGATTCTTGAGGATAAGCAGGAAATTGAAATTTTAAAAATCCCGCTGTGGTGGGAAAGGTTTAGTTTCAGTGTTAGTGCACAGTTCACTGTCTGTAAGATGGAGATAGTAATCCTTCGTTCCTTCCCACCTTTTGTCTGTCTTAACCGTTTAGGTTGTAAGCTCTTTGGGGTGGGAGCTGTTTCTTACTATGTTTATGGACACCACCAAGCCCAGCTGGGCCCTGATCTTAAAAAGGGGCTTCAAGGAGGTCATGTAAAGTACATTATGATTTGTTGTTATCTCGGTCCCGGAAAGATTGGTACCGGTAGAGTTTGTATCTCCATGATCACAACGGGTTCAGATACCACAGTGATGGGCATGGTAGAGGAAGAGAAGAGAACCTGGGCACCCTGGGACAGTGGGATTTTTAACTGTGCTGCGCGGCTTGTTCTGAAGAAACTCGCTGGATTTTTTCAGATCCAGGGGAGAGGATTTTGTTTTGTTTTGTTTCTTTTTAAGGTTAGTTCTCAGTGTATAAAAATTAGATGTGTCAGAATTGTTGGTTCAGAACCAGAACAGCAGGGGTTGTCGCAGATCAGAGTTTGAAACATGTTGGCAGAGCTTTGAGTTTGGAAGTTTGAGCAACAACTGCTTCCACTATGCCTGTCAGAAACAAGGGCTATTGGCCCTTTACTTTTCTGAGAGCTACACTGAAAAAAACAAAAAGAAAATCCTGAGATCATTAACTGCAGTTCATGCTATTACAATATGCAGTTTTATTAAAGTATCGGATCTAAGTCAGCGGTGTTTATTTCTCACTCTGCATGCTATTTATTGTGTGTGTGTGTATAAGTGTGTGTGGGGGTGTATATATCTGTTGCCCTGTGGTTTACAATGTGGATGTTTTCTTTTTCCACTGGCCAATTATTTCTGTTTTGTGTGAACAACAATTGAATTTATTCATCAATAAACCATTCTGCTGCCATTCCTTGCAGGAAAAAACAAAAACAAAGCCGGGCCCTTGATGTAAATTGTATTTCTTGATATAGGATTTGTTGCCTGATGGTGGTTGGACTGCTATGACTCAGGGTATTTGTAATGTTACAACTGGTTTGCCTGTAAGAGTCCAATTATTTTCTTAATAAAGGTTTGCAATTTTGCAGTTCACCTCTAAAGGGCACAAGGAGCACAGTTTGTATTTAATCAAAGATCATTTATATTCAGCAGTGACCCTATGGACAGAAACTGCACATTCCTATAAAATGCCTATCTGAGGTCCTGGAGTTGTTAGAGAAAGGGATGTATTACAGGGACTAATGCAATATTTTACAGTTTAGGATCAGACAGCTGATTTTCTACCAGATTTTTTTTTTAAAGTGTAATAGAGGACACACCAATGAAAAACCAATTGAAGGTAGAGGTGGAAGGGAAGATTCTGGAGAGAGAAGGATGCATCAAAATAGTTTCAGGGCCAGATTTTGATCTCACTTACCTGAGTTTAAACCTGGAGCAATTCTTTCAAAGCTGGTGCTCTTATTCTGCATTTACACCAGGATGGCTGAGCAAAGAACGTGTTTCTAAAGATATTTGCAAAGGAATGATGCTAATCCATAATGGACAAATTATCCTTGGAAGGAAGAAATCAAAAGAAGTCATTAAAGAACAACATTGACTTCAGGGAAATCTTTCAAACAGATCGAACTTAAAACATAAACACATGTACTCATCGCTTGTTTCTCATCATTTTGTTCGCCACATTGGCTAGTGTTTTCAAAGCTGTGTTTCAATGAGAGCTTGGTCCCTTTCCTGCTCATATTCCTTTGTTATTATTCATTAATACTTGAGATATCTATAGCAGCTTCATCTGAGACCCTCAATGCTCTTTACAGTATAATTATGGAATACTTAACTGCCGCTCTCTAGTGGACAGAGGCAGAACTGCTCAACGGTGTGTCATTGGCTCTGTAATGAAAGCAGCTAAAAGAGATTCTCCTTTCGCACAAGCGATCAGCGGCTCATGGTTTTGGCACTGGAGGATCTGAGTTCTGTTCCTGCTATCACCACAAAGTTCTAGGTTACCACCATGCAGCATAGTGACCACCATGAAGCGCTGGGTGTGTTTGGATTTGCTACAATATATTCCTAATAGCAAAGGAAATAGAGAGAATCACTTGCCAAGTGCACTGCTCTTTTGTATCCTTCTCCCCACTCCTAGTTAACCCTAGTTAATCTTATCCCAGTTGTGGCATTCTGGATCCTGCTTATTGCTAGAGTTGTTACTTTATTAGCTCCCTTGTCACTCTCCAGGCTGTACTTTTTACAGAACTCACTGAAATAGGAAACAGCCGTGTGATGAGGTAGGTAGATGGCGTGCTGGGATTCGCAGGCAGAGGGTTAACAGGAAGGCCCACAGTTAGGATTGTCAAGGGAGCAGGGCTGGGCTGGGCTGG